TTGTGGCCGCCATGTCAGAATGTAAGATGTTCTGATGTTGAACAACCACAAGGTTCATTTTCTGTACAGCTTCAGCTCCAAGGAGGGGTGCAAATCCATCTTCTACCACAACAAATTCTATGATGTACACTACATTGTTTCTTGGGTTTTGTACAGGTACTACAGTGGTGCCCAACATGCTCAGTTTGGACTTGGAGTAGGTAACAAGTTCTTGCTCTGTTTTCCGGATCTCAGCACTGGTAAGCAAGTAGCTACGGGTAGGACATTGCGGGAGGCTCCAGTGTCTATCTGCATTGTAACTGTTTTGTTTCCTATTTCCTTGGCTGCATTAATTCTTCCTTTGTCGCTGCTAACAGCATTGACTTGTTCAGAGAATGATAAGACCCAAAGTTCATCTTCAGATGATGACTGCAAATCTTTGTGTAATGTATGTACCTTAGGCTTGTTTCTCTGCATGTCTTTCTGGGGCTGTGTTCTTCTTGATGCTGAAGCGGTTTGTCAGCAGACAGAACTGAAGTGGTTTTGTTTTAAACACTTTGTACAGGTCTTGCAATATGCAGGGCGTTTCTCTATTCCTCGCTCATGTTTTCTGCCACAGTATTTGCAAGCTCGAAACTCTCTCCCAGTTGCTCCCCTTTTGTAGGCGTTCAGTTGATGAACTGCTTCTGTGCCATGGTTGACTACCTCTTTCAGCTGGCTGTTAGCTGCCTCAGCCGCTCTGCAATAATTCATACATCTCTCTAGTGTCAGCTCTGATTCTTGCAACAGTTTCTTGCAGAGCCCTTTGTCTGAAATACCACACACGAGTCTGTCTCGAATCATTTCTTCCTTTACGGATCCAAACAAACATGTATCTGCCAGCATACGAAGTGCAGATGCATAGGCTTCAATTGTTTTTGCGGATTCTTCTGCTCTGATATGGAATTTGTAGCGTTCGTAAATCACATTAGTCTTGCCCACGCAGTAATTATTCCACAACTCCAGGACTTTATCGATCCTACCTTTATCTTCCTCAGTAGCAAAGGGTAAATCAAAGTGGATCTCAAAAGCTTCTGGTCCGATACATGTAACGAAAGTTGCTACACGGTAGTCGTTTGGTTTTGATTGCAAACCTGTGATTGTTTCGTACACTTTCCATGTTTGCAGCCAGTTTTTCCAATTTCTTGCCAAGTCACCACGAAGGTCTAGCCTAGGAGGTATTGGGACATTAGAGGTAAAGATTTGCTGCAGTGTTGCAGGGCTTGGAGGTGTTGTAGTGCTGCTGCTCTTGGCTCCTGGAGTTGCCATCTGTTCGAGTCCTGTCGCCAGATCATGATCCAAAGTCTTCTCAAAGCACCGACGAAAAAGAAAAAATTGGTGAAGGTCTTGCTTAAAAGACTGTTGTTGATCCGACTCCTGACACCATGTAACGATACTGGTTCCAAATACTAAAGAAAGACGCTAAAGGCAATAGATAACAGGTTTTAATGGCCGCCTCAGAACGACAACATGATGCCGGCTTGAGTTTATTTCACGCACAAGTTGCACGACAAACAAATTTCTATTGACACGCATGTAAACAAAACCTTGATGGTGACAAAACTAAACCAAGGATAACCGGTGCATCAGTAACAAATTTCCAGTTAACACTAGCTTGAGCCAAAGAGAATTTTCTCATTTTAAGGGACTTGTTAAGCCCAGTAGAATCGGAGATAATTTATAGACTTTTTGAGAAATCAAAAAATCAACATGGCGCTGAACAATTGTTCGCACAAATTGTGGCCACAAATTCACATTTGTCAAGTAGGCAACGTTGTGAATTCTAGAGCATTTTTGTGCAAATTTCCTTTGCTTTTAAGATGCGGGTAAACAGCTGGAAATTATGGTACCTGTGTGCCACGAGCAAAATTCCAAATTTTTGTTTTCCCTCATCTTCTACAATGAACCTGCATCCACCAGCTGTTGGCCAAAGAGTGCTTGCTTAACTCTTTAACTCTCAAGAGTGACCAAGACATCATTTCTCCTCACATTAACAATACAACAACAAGCAGAAAAGTGATGAGAATAAAGAAAATTTCAATTAGGGGATTATCAGTTGATCCAATACCAAATCCTCCAAACTAACATCCTAAGAATTGTGTGGCACACAGTAAAGAGAATTACTGTTTTAATGAGATCTGGGAGTCAGGGCTCGACACGAACGGTAGCCCACTAGCCACAGAGTAGTAGAAATTCAATTTTGGCTAGTGGTTTTCAATTTCCACTAGCCAGTTTAGCTAGTAAACAGACTGAAACTGACAAGGTTAAGAGCAAAATGGTCAAACTCATTTAACTATACCCCTCTTTATTGTTGTTATGATATTGTTAGGTATAAAAAAAAACCTACTTGCTCATGAAAATCAAACTCAGACCTTTAATTAGGCTTTTTGCTTGAAATGGATTACTCACAAATAGAGTGCTTGATTTTGGTGTCCTCTTCCACTCAATGAAAGGTGTCTGCTGAGTCCTGGCTCATTTTATAGTGAATATTTAGGCAATAGAATGCGTTTTCTCTCAGTTTATCAGTGTAATAATCCATTAGGGATGTTGGGAGAGCGTGAGAAAACTTTTAAATGACAAACTCTTCAAGGGTTCTCCCAGTATCCCAAAAGGGTGTTACTGATAGGAAGTGCAGTCTATTGCTTTTATATGATAAAATCAATTTTCGATGGGTTAACCACAGCAATAACAAGTTTTTGACCAAACAGAGAGCCTTCTTTAAAGGGGAAAATTAAGACCTGGCTTGTATTAGCATCATACTTACAGCGCTCTAAGCTCAATTTTTCAAAAAGTCACCGTTTGGTAATCTTCAATTGTAACATGATCGCCATAAAAAATTTAGTCACCCCCTTTCCCCCCCCCCCCAAAAAAAAAAAAAAAAAGGAGAGGACACTTCATCATATATTACACGATGGACTAATGTGCCGAACGGCATGTGTTACAGTAGCTAACTTAGGTTAGCTACTGTAAAGGTTGGTTTTCATTAGTGTTGGAGTCATAAGAGCACTTATGACCTAGTGAAAATCGAAAAACGGAGTCGTAAGTGGAGTCCTAAGCTTGACGGAATCGGAGTCGGAAGAATCAGAATGTTTCCATTTTCTTCTGATTCCACTTATGACTCCATTGCTTACGATCTAGTGAAAACCGACAGAGCTGAATAATGTATACGCATGCGCTAGGTTTTGCCGTGGAAACACGGACTTTGAGTCATTTGCATGGTTGATTTCCTATTCTGTTGCTTCGAGGCGTCATTTTCCTTGCCGCTTTTCTTTTACAGAACAACCGTCAAAAACTTGGTACACCCCCTAAAAATTTTCAAAAATTCATTTTCTTAAAACCTCTGGAAATAGGAAAGTGCCTTCGACGAAAACAGAGTTCCTAGGTTTTAAATGTCAGCCCTTATTATTTTCCACTAATTTCACTAAATTTTAGACTTAGGACTTTTGAGCTCGCGTTGTTGACCACATACCCTCTGACGTAGCATTTCATTATTCAGCTCTGTCGTGAAAACCGCATTGTCAGAGTCAGAAGCGGAAGCAGAAGAATAAATCAATCACAATGCTCAATTCCAGGCCCGCAAAAGTGCAAATATTGGCGCCAAAGACAACATGGCGGACGAAGAGCAACTTTGGCTCTTATTAATCATTATTTTGCGCAGGCAGAGACAATACAGGAATAATATCGTTCGAAAAAGAAAGAGATTTTGGTTTCGTAATATCTATTTCAGTTCAAATTTATCATGATCACTTTCAAAGCAATTAATGGACATGGTCCAATCTATTTACAAGATCTTGTTAAGTTGCAGCAGAATGGACCATACAACTTAAGATCTAGTAATAAGGGTCTCATGCTGCAAGCACCAAATGCCATAACAAAGAAAACATTAGGTTATCGTGCTTATGTGTGTAGCACCTAAACTTTGGAACAGTCTTCCTTATAAAGTGCGTAACGAGACTGATTTTAGTAAATTTAAAATTTTACCTAAGACTCACCTTTTTAATTTAGCCTTTAATTAGGATTGAATTGTGCATGGTTTAATAGTTTTTTACAATTTAGATAAGGTTTTTATTAGTTTTGTAAATTTGATAAGGGTCTTACTGTAATTTATTATCTGATGTAATTTTTATATTCTATAATTGTTATGGCATTTGATCATATGAGAATGGAATTTGCGCACTACAAATATTAAACTATTATTATTATTATCGACGTTGAGCAGCTTAGGAAGAGTATGCTAACCTCATCAGCGAACTACGACTTGGTGATCGTGAATTGTACTTTCAGTAGGTTTCGAGTATTAACTTTAATTTTGTAGTTTTACAGTCAAGCTCACACGTTTAAATTTGTTATGGCTATTTGTGCATTTTGGAAAGATGGAATCAAGCATTGTGATTGGTTTATTCTTCCGCTTCCGATTCCAACAATACAGTTTTCACTAGATCGTAAGCGACGGAGGCAGAATCAGTGTTCTGCTTCCGACTCCATCGGTTTGATTTTCACTAGATTGTATTGCTCCACGCTTCTGATTACGACTCCGACTACGACCCCGTCACAAGTGAAAACCAGCCTTAAGAGAAAGAATAGGAAGAGATTGTCTAGTAGCAAAAACGATTTATTTCAACATTACAAAGCTGCTGAGACCGTGTGACATTGCCAGTTGCTCCTTCAAATCAATCGAATTTGCCATTTTTTTATGCAGTCGAGTTTCTGAACGACGAGAGGCGAAAAGAGAAACGCAGGTGGTGCCACCACTTGTACTATTGATTAAATGTAATCCTAAGTTTCTCTTTTAATCTGTTGGTCGCCAATCGGTGACTTTCGCCAGAATTTTAGTCGCCAAATATTTTTTCACTCGCCATGGCAACCAAAATGGTCGCAGCTTAGAACGCTGACTTAGCAAATCCACCTAATATTCAGTCTTCTCAATACTACCTCCACTGTCTTTTCATTACTAACTAGCTGTTTAATTACTTGTTTCATAGTTTCTGAGGAGGGTGATGAGTATGAGATAACTCCAGTGTCTCTGTTTGACTTTATCATCAATCCTAATTCATTTGGGCAAACAATTGAGAATCTTTTCCACTTGTCCTTTCTCGTTAGGGTAAGTTGTACTTTGAATCTAAAATGTTACCAGTAAAATTTAATACGCTAAACTTATTAACTAGTGACAGGCCTCTTTACCAGTAATTTGATACTTACAAGTCCTGTTTTACAAGAATTCAACAGTACATCAATGAGTGTCGTATTATTTGAAGCCAAGTTCAGTAGCAGTGCACTTTTGGCTTATTTTTGTACCTTCATTGATACAAGTTTACTTTCCATTGAAATTGCTGGTGCATTGAAAAACTCGTGTTTTGGCTGTTCCATGGTCATTTGGATGGAGAAAAAAAGACAAAGCAAAACAACAGGACATGTTATAAGAATACCATGGTGTGAAATTATGAAATTCACCTGTATGATACCATGATGCTGCAGTGGGTAAGAGTTATTAAAGCACAGGATTCTGAAATGACAGCAAATGAGTCCTGGCTGAGTCTCTAGGTTATTTTTGTGAGTATGAATAGATCTATAACTGTTTCATGGTCCTTGCTTTTCATGTCATGTAATGTAACTCACATGCTTGATTTCACTTCTATTTCCATGCCTCCAGGATGGTAGAGCAGAAATAAGTCTTGATAATCAGGGACTACCAGTTGTATGTAAGTGTTCATGTACATGTTTTTATAAAATATTTCAGATAGTGTGTGCACTCTTATGGGTCTAGTATGTAAACTGGGCTGTAACATGACACTCTTTGTGTTACTGGACGGAATAGTTTTTCAGAAATGTTTTGTAAAAGGAATTGAGGACTTTTCCATGTTTACATAACCTCATCTAAACACAAAGGGGTTTTCTTAAGATCATAATCCGGTGAAAATGGTTTTGTTTTGTTTATTTGTTTGTTTTATTTTATTTATACTTTCCCATTTGCATTGGTAGCATACCAAGAAATGCCTGGTGAGGATGAGCAGACAGGAAAGCAGCAAGTTGTTGTTCATCTCACTTTGAAAGAGTATGAGGTGAATCAAATATTAAAAACAGATCAACAACTGTACCTTTTTTCAACTGAAACATGACTGTATCTCTAAAAGTCTCAAGTCTGCCATACTGACTTTTATTTCCTTACATGTAACTCCAAAAGCTGCAAGACATTGATTTGTAACAGATTTTACTCAGAAGAATCCTGAAAAACAGAGAGTAACAAGATGTAATTTATTATTATATCTCTATTGGTGAGAATAGGATTTGCAGCAGTGTACCAGGAAGAATCAGAAATTCCTTGAATTAATGCCTTTGTATTGCTCGGTGGTTTTTTTTTTTGGGGGGGGGGGGGGGCTTTGATACTGGATGTGGTTTGGCTCTGATGTACTAGCAAGATCGTCTTTCATACTAGACAGGTTTTGCTGCACTCTTTGGTTTGCCTCCCATTTAATCTAGTATTCTTGTGGATACCACATGGTTCTTGAAAGGGCAGAGACAAATTAATGTGTAAACTGATCTTTAATAGTTTGGAATTTCTCTTTCTGCATTTGATGGTGTGCTAGAAGAAAACTTTTTCTGGCTGGTTTCTATTACGAACTTGTTAATGAGCAAGGATGTTAACTTTTAGCCTTACTCTGTTGGATCATTTGCTCCGTAGGAAATTATCAAAACATTTAACATCACACAGCCAATGATTCCACCTCGCCCAAGGATGGGCCTGGCCAATGGTGCTGGTCCCAGTAATGATGGAAATGAGAGTGATAATGAAGGAGAAGGGGATGACAATTAACTCTTTTAATGAATATTGAATGACTACATGTACCAAGAGTTCACCTCGAAATGAGGTGCAATTTTTCCACCGGTAGAGTGTACTGAACTTGGAGTAAACATTGTCTGTTTTTACCACCTTTTTTTACATTGAAGGCTGCAAAACCTATCATTTTGTCGTTGAAGAGGATTCAGTCAGTATCCTTCTTTACAGAACTTATTTGGGCATAGTAGTCGCCCTGTTTATTCAATAGTTGGTAGGGTTGATTTGTTGTTTTATGAGGCAATCTACAGTTACATTGTACATACATAGGAGTGTTGTTTTAGACCAAAGCATATAAATTCCTCCTTTTATTGAATTAGTGAATAAACATGAATGTAACATAATAGTTTTCTTGGATTAATACTCTTTCATTAAAAAAAAGTAGCTGCTTAAATTTTTTGGAAATAAGTCATAATTGCCAAGCTCATTGTTTTTTTTGTAATAGTGTAGTCTGATCATCTGGGTGAGTACAGTCTTGACAAGGACTGACTATCAATAAGGAGATTATTAGTTGATCCAATATTCTCCAAAGTGACATAAGAATTGTAGGGCAGACAGAAAGCAAATTTGTTGTAATGAGATCTTGGGTGTGAAAGGGCTTAACTTATCACTCCCAGGATCAAAGTTTAGACTCTCCACACTGTTTGTCATACATTTCTTTTAATTTAAGCTGTAAAATTGTTTCAGATCAAATTATATCCCCTATATGAATGTTTCTCTCCCCTATTACTAACTTTTCAACCAAAGTTGTACTGATATTTTAAGGAAAACCACCTTGTTACTTCTGAAAGTGAAAGGGTAATAAAGTGCCACAAAAGAGACTAGGGCTGCTGAGTAACCAGAAATATGTTTCTTCAGTATCACAAAAATAACATTCTAAGAGAAATTATGAACTAACAGAAACAAATCAGTCTTTAGACTGAATCTCCAAGTTACTCTGTTCAAACATGAATAGATAAAAAAAAAGAAGACATTAAAAAGTACACTTGTCATAATTGAATTCTATTGTGGTTAAAGCACTTAATTGAAGCATACAATTTGAGATTGCTGGCAATCTTTTTTATTCAGATTTAGCCATGAGTTTGGATGTAATAATTTATAGTGTAATGTTAGGTTTACATGCAAAGTATTGTTTATTTAAGAGCTACAGTTTAAGTTTAATCAAAATAAAACTTAGTTATTGAATGTCTTGTTCATGGTTGTATTTCAAACTGGAAAAAAAAGCTCAAAGTCTGCTCCAAGGGCAAGTTCATGCAAGAATTGATTTTTATTACCATTACAGCCCCTAAGCTCGTTCTCCCTCTCTCCAAGGTGCTGTAAAGCAACACTCTATCTAGCACCCCACATCACTTCCAACTCTGAATCGAATGGGAGTGACATTCTCCTATGACAGCTTGAGTCACGTAATGTGCAACAACAAACTTTACTTGCAATATCTTTGTGTAAACTAGTAAGACATGGTTCTAGAGGAAAGAAACATACCGATGGTATGACAGTTTTGTGGTTAAATGAAAATGGGGAATAATTCTTAAAAATTGTTTCTTTTGAAATATTTTTGTAAAAGAGGATGTGGCATTTTGTTTTCTTCTCTAAAAGAAAAGGTTTTTTGTAAATATGGTGGTCAGAAGTGAGTGCAGTCTGCAACACTAGGGGACTACTACAACAGAAATAACATAGCTTTCAATGTAGGTACCCAAATTCAATAACAAAAGCTTGCTTCATAATCCCATTGTGTGTGCCAATAATGTAAGCAATCAAATGCCTTAAGAGATGATTTTCCCCTGTGATTGACTGTCTACTTCTAGACCAGTTAGTCTAGGAGTATTGAGATTTTCAAGATGGTTTTTCCCTTCCATCCCAGTTGAGATAGATTCAACACCCACTAATATATGAGCCAATTAATACACACTAGTACTACTTCACTTGTGTCTTCTTTCTGTTTATTAAATGAATATAAACTTGCTTCAAAAACAAAACAAAGCTTTTGCAAAACACAAGACTTGCCTGTGAATATAAACTTGTTTCAAATACAAAACAAAGCTTTTGCAAAACACAAGACTTGCTTATGAATATAAGCTTGTTTCAAAAACAAAAAAAAGCTTTTGCAAAACACAAGACTTGCTTGTGAATATAAACTTGTTTCAAAAACAAAACAAAGCTTTTGTAAAACACAAGACTTGCGGAAAATAAATGAGAGTTCAGTGTAGAATTTCTTCCTTATTTGACAAGTTTCACTCTGTCTTTATGAACCTTGAATTTACGATTTTTTGTTATCTTTTTCTCGAATAAAGCTCTCAGTTCATTATCAGAAAGATTTCTTGTATTAGCTCCTCTTGCTTCAAACTCTGCCAAAACCTGTTTGAAAAAAAAGTTGAAAGCATTAACACAGCAGTAATACAGTCTCTAAATCATAATTTCCCTATGACGTTACAGCATGCGTCAAGTAAGATTAAAAATCCCAATTGTCAAGTATAAATGATAAAATTTTATGCATCTTATCCAGATTGCAAAATTGAGTATTTACCATTGATCAGGTTGATTGAACTGAGAACTTTATTTTGAGGTGCCGAACAGCACTGAAAAAATATCGTTTTGAAACTGGTGGCCTTATTTCCTAGCAATAATGCATCTAAAATTGGAAATAACCACTAATAAAAGAGAATCACCCATCCCATAAGAGCTTAAAACCTTTATTACTATTATTATTATTATTATTATTACTACAATCATTACTAGTGATAGCTGTGCGATGTTCACATAATTCCTACATTACCCTTTTCCTTAATCTTTTGATTGGTAACTCTTGATCAGGAGCTTGCCTCAAGACTGCCTTAATCGTAGATTTCCAATTAAATTGATCTACACGAAACAAAAATTGTTGCTTTTACTTTCAGTTTAGATACAGTAGAAACCTCCCTAACTTGAACTTGGTTAACTCAACCCTCCCCCATCCCCCCCCCCCCCTTGTGGCGAGTAGAACAAGATCTGATTTCCCTTGACTTCTCATCATCTGACTAAAACCCATCCTCGGAGACCCAGGGGCTGAGTGGATTTCAAGTTAGGGCATGAAGAGCCCCTGGGGACATTGTCTTACAAGACTAGTTCCAAACGGTCGCAGTCGTTCTGCCATCTGATTGGTGCCAGAAAATCTTTGTGTTTTTCTGCCCTATCAGAGTAAAGTTAACAATTGGTTCATTCTTTAGCGTGCACTATCGAGTTATGGAGCACGCGTGAAGTTTGGAGAGCACGAAAGAAGCGTAAGAGTTGCCCGAGGCGATAGCCGAGGGCAACTCTAGCTTCATGAGTGCTCTCCAAACTTCCCACGTGCTCCATAACTCGATAGTGCACAGCTGAAAGCATGAACTAATTGTTTTAGAACATAGCCAGTGGAATTGTGCATCAAATCCGACGCGAAAAACGGACAACACTATCAGTTAAAGCGAATCGTGATGGCGCTGATGCCGAGTATGCTTTTCCTTTGTTTTTCTCTTTTTCTGCCTCATTTAAGAACTCTAGCCCAAGGGAAAAGGTCCAAACATTGTCTTCGTTTTCGGACTAGTAGGTCGAGTGTCTGTTTGTATCCATTATTGTCGCGAAATATATTATTTTTCCCCGCGCTAACAATGGCCGCTCGCGCGAAAAAAAAAA